CGCCGCGCCGCCCGCGGGCTCCGCCGGCCGAGCGCAGCGCCGCGCCCCGGCCCCGCCTGCACACTGCCCCGCCGCCGCGCTCGCCGCTGAAATTTTATACCTCCCTCCCATGACGTCCCCGGGACGGGGCTCGCGCGGGGGAGGGAGCTCCAAGCCCGGCCTTCGCCCGCGGCGCCGCGCTGATGGCTTCAGCAGGCGCGCGGCGATCGCCGCCCTCCGCCTCCTCCTCCTCCTCCGCCGCCGCCCCCCGCGCGGACGGCGGCGCCGGGCCCCGCGCCTCGGGCTGGGCCCCTCCGACGTGGCCGAGGCGGCCTCCGCCGCGGCGGCGCGCGGGCGCCCCCTTCTGGCGGCGGGCGAGAGTGGGGCCGGGCCCTTCGCGGTGGTCCGCCGCTCCGCCCCTTTCCAGAGCGGCGAGATCGCGTTAAAAGCGGCAAAAATACCCCGAATAGTTTCCCGATGCGGTTTCTTTCCGAGAGGAGGAGGGAGGGGCCGGGGACCAGTGGGCCATGCGGCCCCAGAGGCGGTGGTGGGCGCCGCGGGGCCCCGCGCTGGCGACTCGCGGAGGGGCCGGGGCAGCCGCCTCGCGAGCCTGCAGCCCGCAGAAGGGGTTCGGCGGGCGGGATGTCGGCCCCAAGCGCTCACCCGGCTCCGGTCACGGGTTAGGATCACACCCTCAGGTCCCCATGGTCTCCTCTCCCGGGGCATGGCCCGCTGCTCACTCGCCCCGCCTGGCTTCCAGCCTGCCCGCAGCCTGCGGGCCCTGTGTCCGCTGCTCTCGTTCCACACCCTGCGCTGCCCACTGCCGGGCCCTCCGAGAGCTCAGGTGTGCCCTAGGGATGCTGAAGGGCAGCCCAACGCCCTTGTGGCCAGCGTGGTGCCTGGGGAGATGCTTTTTCAGCACCATGGGTCCTAGTTGGGAGCATGGCTGGCGGGGATCTGCTGCTGCTGGGCTCCCCTGCTCGAGCTGCAGCTGCCAGGTGTGGAAGCCCATAGGGTGGCTGGAAGCATTGCACTCGAGGGGTCATGTATTGGAGGCCACGCTGACCCGTAGCTCTGGTGGCTCTGGGATGCTTCTGCTCACTTGCCGCAGTGCCACATGGTGAGTTACTGGCCAGTGCAGAGATAGGAATGGGAATTGTGAGCTGATGAGGGCAGCTCCTCCATGTCTGGGCCCGGGTGTAGGTGTCAGTAAGGATCTTGGCATACTGTGATGGATGTGTGAATGATATTGGCTGCTCACCCAAGGCTGGGAGCTTTGTCAGCACGAGGGCGACTGAGATGTCCTGTAGGAGGGGGTAGGGCAGCTGTCTCTTGCTATGGCAGCTATGGGTTGCTGTGTCTCCCTGCAGCAGCACGATGCCTGCAGTCCCATGTCAGGCCAAGAGCCCAGCTAGGCGCCCTTCAGCACCCCAGCTAAGATGGCCATTGTTCTCTCTCACTGAGCAATGTGTGGGCTCCCCACCGCAGCTACATGTGCTGCTGAAGGTGGCTGGGAGCAGGGCTCAGGTGTGATGGCTTTCTCAGGCTCCCAGGCTTCCTCTGTGCAGGCGGAGGACAAGACACAGCGCTTCATAGGCCCGGTTAAGAAGCAGTCAGCAGCACAGTGCTGGAGGGCTCTCTGAGTCCTGCTCCGCGCAGCCAGGTGAGTGAACCCATGGGTCCTGCTGATCTGTGACCTGTTCCAATCCCTCCTGCGGCTGCAGCACCCTGCGGCTGCCTGTCGGAGAGGGGGTGGGAGATGCAGGGCTGTGTGCCCGTGGCTCCTGTGGTGAAGTGTGGAGACAGTGAGTGGTGCCCTTCTGCCTGGTGTGGATACTGAGCCTGTCAGTGACACAGAATCACCACAGTCTGGGGGCTGGCGGTGTGACAGCGCCCAACCGGCCTGGCTTCAGGGGAGGAAAACCACGTCTTGCTTACTGAGCTTCTTGAACATGAAAGGACAGATAGTAGCTTCTATTAGAGCAATTGATATAGCTGGAAAAAACAGACAAGCTTTCGGGCACAGATGTGCTGCGTGTATGGCTTTTTCCAGCTGCATCAGTGGGTCTCATAAAAAGTTATTGCCTCTGCCTACAAACCTCATTTCACTTAATTCTCGGATCATCACAGCTACAGCACAACTGCTTGAAAACGCAGGCAAGGAGCAGAAAGAGGGTTCTCTGACACAACGTCTTTAGACCTCCGAAAGGCCTCCAGCCAGACCACAGCTCCCAGCGAAGCCGGGCAGTCAGAACGCTACCCTGGAGCGTAGGGAACGGGCGGGGAGCAGCCTTCGGCTGCCGCAGCTGAATTAGGGAGCGGTGGCAGCTTAAGCTAATGAGGATGGCTGGAGGCTGCGAGGGGTGTCAGAGAAAGCAGAAAAATGCAGCAAATAGGCCGGGACCTTGTTTAATGCGTACAGCTCGCACGGGGCCCATCCGCAGCAACGCTATCTGCAGGGCCGGGCAGGCGGAGGGCCGGGCTGGGGCGGGCTCCGCTGCCGGTTGCTAAGGACGCGGGGCGGGCCGAGTGCCGGAAGCGGCGGCGGCGGCGGCGGATGGAGGCTGAGCGGGAACGGGCAGAGGTGCCCCGCCGGGCGGGGGTGAGCGGGCCGGGGTGCTGCCGGCGGGGGGCGCCGCCCCCAGCGTGCCGTGCGGGTGGTGGTCGCGTTCCCCTCTGACCTTCCCGCGGCTATGGCCGCCTTCTGCGGGCCACCTGAAGCCGTGCGTGTCGGTGACTGCGTGCCCTTCGTTCCTCTGCCACAGGTGCCCAGGATGGGCCGGCGGGCTCGCCAGGACCTCTTCTCTGGTGAGAGCCTCAGCAGGAAGAACTCCTCTTCTGCGTCCACGGGAGAGGTGGGTGTAGCTCCAGGACATCCTCGCTGTGTCTCGCACGGAAGCTTGTTGCTGTCTTCTGAGATTCGTTCCCCCATTACGTGCCTTACCCTTCGAAGTTTATCCTTAGAGTTGGGCCCTTGTGGCTGCCCTGCCCCTTCCCTCGTGCTGCTTTCTGCACCGCGTGCAGGGTTCACAGAGCTGTTAAATGGGGTTCTGGTTCCTCGTGGTGAGGTGTGGAGTAGTAACAAGCAGACTGGGACCTATTCCTCCAGTCGTGGCATATCTTGCCATACATACATGCAGGCTTATTGTTTTGTTACCAGTGTCTCACCACCTGTGATAGCAAGGCAGAGTACAGGTAAGCAGATACTTCTCGTTTGCATTTGGCTTCTGCAGGAGCCAGAGTACAATTTCTGGTGGTCAATATCAAGCTTGTATAGCAACTTGTATAGCAACAGTGTTTTTCCATTCCTCTGCTCACAGGCTACAGAGGTCATGCTAGAAGCCAGCTTTGCAGCATGTGAGACTTTGTGATAATGTACAAATTCATTTCCCTTTTGACTTTGGAGATAGACTTTTGTTCAGAGTCTGTTCTTGTCAGTACCTCTTCAAAAAGTAGAAAGTAGCTGCCTGGAACCCTTCTCTCACAGGAGGGTGAGGGACCATCCTATAATAACCCAGAAGATAAGAGCTGAACCTTTCAATCTGATATCTTAGTGCTGCAGAATCCTCAAATTCTACGTGGGAGTTCACTCTCTGATGTTTGCATGGCTTTTCCATAGCATTTCCTGCTGAAGTGAGCACCAGTCAAGAAAAGACATACAGTGTTCTCCCTGTCACCTTCAGATGGACAAAAGGCTCCTAAGATTTCCAGCTTACTGACTGTGATATTTGTGTAAATGAGAATAGTACTTTGGTTTTTGCAGTGCCTGTGTTTCAATTTCCAGCATACCATATCCTTGGTTTCTTTGAACTGCAAGGCCAATTTGCTCTGCTGAGCACTCTGGTACCAACTGAACTTCAAGTTTCTGAGCCCTGGGCCTTCTGTCTTAGGAGCGGCTGCTTCTCTGTGTCATGATGGAACTCTGAGTTGCTGTATCACACTCATCTGTCCCAAAGTATTTTCTGGGCATTTGTTTCCTTTGAGTCCCTGCTGTGTTGTTGAAAATATACCATTACAGCTTCTCTTAAAATTACACTGAATATCCTTTTTTTTTTCTTTTTTCTTTTTTTCCCCTTCTTTACCCCCCTGAACAAAGTATGCTCCTTTTTCCCTTTGATCAGCATAACAGAGAATCATCTCTTCCCACCTATGTGTTCTTCTCCCTCTGGGTATGCTAGGAGGTCAAGAGGAATTCTGGGAGGGCATTTGTGGAAGGAAAGGCCCATACTAAGAACAGACCTAAACTCTATAGGGTTTGTAGCACTGCTTCCCTGCCACCTCAGGAAAAAAGTGAGTGCTCTGGTTTTTAGAGTTAAATCACTTTCCACTGGCAACTGTTTTTGGTGCTGCTGTGGATACTGGAGAATGAAGAAGAATATTTACAGTAAGAGGAATAACTGATACTCGCCAAGATGTCTCTCATCCAGTTGAGGCTGGGCAGTCGTCACTGTCTATTTCACGTGACTAGCTGAAATTATTCTAAAATCACCACATGCCTTGGGTAGGAAGGGACCTTAAAGCCCACCCAGTCCCAGCCCCTGCTGTGTGCAGGGCTGCCCCCCACCAGCTCAGGCTGCCCAAGGCCCCATTCAGCCTGGCCTTCAGCACCTCCAGAGATGGGGCACCACAGCTTCTGGGCAGCTGTGCCAGTGCCTCACTGCTCTCTGAGTTGAAAAAATTCTTTCTCATATCTAACCTAAGTGTCTCCTCTTTTAGTTTAAAAACATTTGCCATTGTCCTGTCACTATCAGACTGTATACAGTCTCCCTCCTACTTATTAAGTTCCTTTTTAGTACAGGAAGGCTGTAATGAGTTCTCTCTGGAGCCTCTCCCCAAAAAATCTCAGTTCATGCATACTAAAGAGCTGAATGTACCCTGTGAAGAAGCTCAGGAGATAAGACGTAATCCCCTGCTTTACCAGTGAGTCCTATGACTCTCCCAATTAGCAAGAGACCTCAGCAGCAGGTGGTTTCATCCGTGCTTTCTTCCATCTGTCACTGAAGCACTAGAAAGGCATGACAGGAGATGCTAGATGTTTGCAAAGCAAATGTAGCTTTTTATGCATTTATTTTGGTAATTTAAAAAACCAAAGTAACAGTGGGACTCATAGGTAAAGAAAGTCTTAGAAGCCAGCTGGTGGGGCAAGCAGGTGTTAACATCGGTTTGCTTCTAGTTGAGAGTGGCTCACTCTAATTGTTCTCTCATCGCAATTGGCTTTGTGGACTGATTCCCTGCCTGGAAAAGGATGGAGGCATGTGGTAGGACTGCAGCTGATAGGTTGCAACTTACTGTGGTTGTGCTTAGTATGGCTAATGTCACAGAGATTATAACGGGTGTGGAGAGATCATAAAGATTCCCATCCTTGGACATCCTTGGAGAGGAATAAGAAGTAGAATCTTCTGACTGAAGGCAGTGAGCTTTTCAGCAGTAAAGGGTGAGGCCTTCCACGCCTTAAACAGTTCAAATATGTTATTACTGGATCTTAACCACCAAGAAGAAAACTGTGTCAGTAGTCTCCCTTCAGACAGTTCTTTGTGTGCTGTTAACTGAAAGCCTTGGAGCTACAGGAGAAGAGACAAAATGCACTGTATCCTCAGCCTTTTCCTTTGTTCTGGAATTGGAAGCCTTTCATACATGGCCATGGTTGGTAAGAAAAAGAACATTTAATAGAACTGATCTCGTGTTTTCCTTCACCCTGGACTGGCAACTGTGTTCTACTTTTCTGGAAGCTTGGCTCATCTCAAAAGTGTGGGGTCAGCTGTTAAAATGGGTGTCTCATTCAGCCCACTGGTCATCTTGAAACCTTTTCAAGGAGCATTACTAAAAGAAACTACAAAACAAAAACAGCATAAAAACAACCTGCCATATTTTTTTTTACTAGGACTCACCATAGTGGGGGAGGTTCCATGTAATTATTTCAGCAGATTTTATTCCTGTTAGTGATTTTGAAGACAGGTTTATCCTAAGCCTTTGTTGTATTGACACTTCTGTGGGAAGTTTTCTATTTGGGATAGTGATTCTGTCCTTGGTAGTACCTCAGGGTTTTAGGACTGTTTTAGGGGTCATCTTGATTTTCATTTATTTATTTTAATGTTTGTCCACCCAACCTCCACTCAGCTCAAATCTGTGATGAGAACACCTCATTTGTCCTCGCAGATGTCCTCACTTCTTGTCTTTTCTTGATGCCAGTAAGCACTCTGGATGTGTTTTACAGTCAGAACAGCTTGCTTGAAGGAAGCAGAAAGTACCTGTCTGTCCATGTTTCAGCTTTTGGACTTACTACAAGGAAATCACTTTGTGGAGTGAACTCATTTAGCATAATTAAAAAGATCTTTGTTTTGAAGTCAATAAGCAAATCTTCTGAGTTGGAGTGTAGATCTTATCAGTTTACCACAGATCTTTTGTTGACCTGGACTCTGTCTTCAAAAAGAGACTTCAAACAATGGTACTGTCTGTCTTCTTTCACAAATGTGTTGTGGAAAGCTGTTCCCTCGGACATAACTGCAGTCTCTTGTGCCTTGTAGCCTGCTATACATCCCCCAAGCTTTATAAAGCAACGCAGTATCTTAGTATTTTTTGTCTGCCTGTTGTGTATATGCATTGTTTGCTCTTCTGCAATAAATTCCTTAACTGTAGTAGTCTCTCTGATTCCTCTGGCCACATCTGTTTGATAGCTCCCATTCCTGTGTGGAATTATCTGCATTACCTTCAAATTCAGACTCCTTGAGGAGCTCCTTAAAGGTCATTAAGCTGACAGTCAGCCATCTAACATGCAGAGCATTCCTGCTTTTTCAGAAGTACAAGTACCAACAAACAACAGTGCAGCTGTATACTATTTCAGGAGGCAAGAAGGAACATGATTATTTGCTGTAACTGGTGCAATCAGCATCCTCCTGCAGCAATGGTTGTGCATGTTCCTGGTCTTCAGAGCTCCTTGGCAATTTAGCAGGCACTTCTTGAGCACCCAGGGGAATATGCTGTAAATGGGAATTCCTAGAGATAAATTTACTTGCTGCATGCCAGAACTCTGCATTTCAAACATTCATTTTCAGAAGAGTAATACATCCATTTTCCATTGGGAGGCCTTTCCCATCCCCTGGCTTGCTGTGTTACTTTTTACTCATCTTGACGGTATTGGGTTTCTGGCAAAATGGGACAGACTTGAGCTGGGGGTGTTATTTGTGCAAAGGGAGGGGTGGATGATGCAATGAGATCTGTTGAAGATCTTTGTTCTCGCGTTCTACCAGGACTTCTGGATGCTTGTCTAGAATAAAAGTCCTGGCTCTAGCATTGCTGCATCCAACTGCCTGAATGTTAGCTCAATGTCATTCACCAAAATAAAATATTCAGCCAGATTCAGAGCTCTTAAGGAGATTGGTTTGGAAAGCTGAGTGGAAAAGACTTCTGTTTAAATATGTCAGCATTTTGTTCCTTTTCTGTGTCTCCTCAGCAGGAGTGGGCTATCTGTTGTTCCATAAGAAATCAGTATGCAAAAATATTTTTGTATTATTCTGCTTAAGCAGTCCATTTTCTCTTTATCCTACTGTGGAGAGGCTCCCTTGGGACTTTGTTCAAGACTTTCTTGAGTTTCTGCTCTTACAAACCCTATGTGATGTTGTCAGTGTCTTTCTTGCAGTGCTTTGTAGATCCTCTGCAGAGACTGCTTTTTTGTAGGCAGTGCACCAGCCTGAAGGATGAGGTATACCAGGCTGTGCTGGGGGCCTCTCCTTACAGGCAGGACAAGGGTTACTTTCACATAATGGCAGAATTTGTCCAGAACTTTCATTTTCTTCTGCATGTTTTACCCAGGTCTGGGGAAAGGCTCTGTTCTTTCATTTCTGAAAGTGTGTTCTTCCCTCACACGCACAACCATTGCTAGGTTATGGCAGGTACCTGTTATCTGTAAGCATGCCTATGTAGTTGTAGTCCTAGAGTGATAGTTAAAAAAAGAATATTTCTATCTTCAAAAATCTTACACAGGCAAGTGTACAGACAAAACATTGAACTGCCTCCACTGTGTGCTGGGCAGATATTCCCACTAGTGTGTTTTACAGAGAAGCTCTTTGCACTTCTGCCAGTCAGCTTACAGATGCCCTGGTAGTGGCTTCAGGCCACATTCTTTAGGCTAACATGCTAGCTTCATTTAAATGGGACTCTGGTTGTTTAAACCAAGCAAATAGACAACTGCACATCAGTTGCTGAGGATGAAACCCGGATGGAAGAGTGCTCAAAATGGTTCTATAAATGCTTCTTTCCAGATGTCTTGTCCAGCAGGATTTCCTTCTGTGTGACTGTGAGTCCTGTGCCACCTGGGTTCTGTACATCTGGAGGAGCTTAGATCATGCTGGACCCCGCAGACATCTATTTGCTGTCAGATACAGGAATAAGGAGTCCCTGGTTAACAGATACACAGTTCCAATGGATCTTATTGGTTAGGTCAATCTGGTTTCATTTACTCTGCTTTCAGATACGGACACTTCTGTACCCTGCTGCCCTATTAACTGCATGTAGGCTCCCTCTGTCTTAATAAGGCCATAAGACCAAATGGCAACACAGAAACTAAATGGATTCAGATACCAAAATATTTTAATTGGAGATGTATTTATAAATTACATGACTTCCCTTCTCCACCAGAGAGATAATGCAGTCCAGATAAAGGTCAGGTGGATTAAAATAGTGGTTTCAGCCCTAGTCCCTGTACTGGGTCTTAGGATACCTATAGTTTCCCTGAATTATTCTGTTATTTCTTGAATTGTGTAGAGATTACTGAGTTCTTCAGTTGCCTTCTCCATGCATTTGATGCCTAACAATCGGTTGTTGCTGTGCTTTTTCTGGCAGCGTTAGTCGGAAAGATTCTCAGCTAGTTCACAAGTTTCATGGTAATCAACAGGCTGCTTTCTGTAGTTATTCATCTGCCTTATAACTAAGCTGTTCCCTTCTACAGCAGGGTTAACTAAAGTTCATATACTTATGCAATGCTGTTGTCAGCTAGGGCTATGTCAAGCTAACTGCTACAGCTACCACTACAAGTGGAGAATTTGACTTTGCTCAGAGTGTCTCCCAAAAAAGGGGTACAGTCAGCTGTGGTAAATAACTCCCAGCATGGCAGCTCCAGCATCTTTTCTGGGCTGGCATAGTTGCAGAGTCTGGCCATTCAGATCTTTCTAGTGTCCTACATGGGCTTTCTTGGATTAGGTTAGTTCTATTCTTGATCTTATTGTAGTATTTGTTTGTTTTTGTTTTTTAGTATTCCTTTTAATGATATGATTGCTGTCCACTTTTAATGCCATTGCAGTCAAACAGGCATGCTTTGTGGTATCACAGTATGTGTAAATGACTGGATATAAAACCTTACAGTAATGGGATCAACTTTGCACTTTGTTCAAGTGATTAAGGTTGCATAGCATATGCTGCTGAACAGTTCATATCAATCTTCAAGCTATTTTGTGCAGAATTAATTAGCTTTTCCTTTTAACTTCTTTCTCTCCTTTCCCCTCCTTATCCTTCTAGGATGAAGACCCTGAGGAAAAGGTTGACCATGTAAGGCTAGAAGCTTTCTAGGTAGATGCTGGCTTCTCTGAAGGGGACTAGTAAGGCTAACCTATTGATGTGCCTGGGGCCTACCATAGGAGGGGACCCTAGTGCTAGAGAGTAAGACGAAATCATTCCTGAGAGCAGTGCCTCTCCTGCATCTTCCATTCCTGTTGTTGACAATTTTTTGTCTTATTATCTGGAAGCAACTCTTATCAGCTGCTGCTTCATGTACTTAGATCACAGACCTTTGTGTGGCCATTGAAAAGGCATTCTGTTTTCATTTAAAAATCAGGACAGAGAGTAGCAGACGGATTACAGAACCTGTCTGAGGCTACATGTGCTGTCCACTTTGTTTAGCTTACTCCCACAACATGAAAACTTGTTTTAAGAGATTATGAAGTCTCACTGGTGCCCCAGAGGAGAAGGCCAGCCAGCAGTAACAGGATTCTGTGCTTGTGTATTTCCTGTGAGTCTTTCCTGGCTCGAGTAGCTCTTTGTATATGTTAGATATTTAAAGCATCCTTTCCCATATTTTCATTCTTTCTGCTGAAAAACTAACTCTGTCATAGTGTAGTAGCTCCATTCAAGAAGTTTAGAGCCCAGAAAAGAAACTTGTATCACCTGTCTCATTAATTCTGGTCTCAGCAGCATTTTGTATTGTAAGAATTGAGTACTCTTCAGTTTTCTCTGATGGTGCTCGAGATGATATTGTAGAAAAGATCCACTGAGTGTATTATATCCACTGGAAGCTGCTGGAGAGGGTCCAGAGTAGGGACACAAAGATGGTCAGAGGTCTCCCCTATGAAGACAGGCTGAGGGAGCTGGGCTTGTTCAACCTGGAGAGAAGAAGGCTGCGGGGTGACCTCATTGCAGCCTTTCAATGCCTAAAGGGAACCTACAAACAGGAGGGGAATCAACTCTTTGAAAGGGTAGATAACTGCAGGATAAGGGGAAATGGTTTTAAGCTGAGGGAGGCAAGATTTAGGTTGGATGTCAGGGGGAAATTCTTTACTATGAGAGTGGTGAGGTGCTGGAACAGGCTGCCTGTCCTTGGAGGTGTTCAAGGCCAGATTGGATGGGGCCCTGGGCAGCCTGGTGTAGCATTAAGTGGGGAGGTTGGTGGCCCTGCATGTGGGAGGGAGGTTGGAGATTCATGATCCTTGAGGTCCCTTCCAACCCAAGCCATTCTTTGATTCTATTAGTCAGCGACAGATGCTTCAGGACCCAGAGCACTCTTCCAAAAATCAGGCAAAAAGACTACCTGCAGATGGGTATTATTTTGGGAAGTACTTACCCAATAGCATTTTTTCATAATAATTGTCTTAAACTTTCTTATTTATTTATGTATTACCTCAGTGAACCCAGTCCTTACAGTTGTTTCACTGGAACTAATTCTACCTTTCATGCATTGCCTTAATTCATAGGTTCTGAAGAGCTGCTGTGCTGAGTGGTGGCTGGTCACGTGCTGCAGGCACCTTCTTGCTCCTGGCTGCACAATTTCATTAAAGCAACTAAACTGATTTGACTTCCACATGAACAATTGTTATTGATTTGGGGGTGTTGTGCAGTGGTGCCCAGCAAGGAGATGAAGTGATCCCCTCTCTAAAACTACTCCTATCTAGATAGCTCCTGCATACCTTATTAAGCAGCATGGTCATGCTTGAAAGTATTTTTTCATTTGTAAATGCCTGTGAAGGGCAACAAAATGGGTAACTGAGCATTGAGAAATCTGACTCATCAGTAGTCTGCTTGTAGGTTTTTAATACTTGTATGCTTAAAATGCCTACTGACTACTATTAATTGTATCATAGCCCCCTTCCAAACCAATTATTAGCAGAACTTTATATTGTGTGATCCAAAACTGTTCAGTTGCAGTATATCCCTTCCTTAGTCATTGCCTGGCCAAGCTGAAATACTTGGATTCTTGAATCATGTCCGAAGTTGGCCCCTTTGTCCCTCTGATGGCTCACGTAACCCTTCTCTGAACTCCCTTTGGGCTGTGCTGAGTGTTACAATCTGAACTCTTCCTGGATTTGGTCCCTTTCCTCATGCTGCTCTGAAGTTTGTGGCTGCCAGAATATCAGCAAACACCCAGTCGGTGCCTTTGATGTGAGCGTACCTGCTGAAGTCCTGCCCTGCGGCTGGCTGCCTGCTCAGAGACTTGTTTTGCATCCCCTGGCAAACCACTCATCTCACATCTGAATTTTTGCCAGTTGAGTCACTCGTTTGTCTGTGCCTTCCAAGGCTGCCTGGGACATGAAGCCAAAGGCCGCAAGGCTGATCAATGGTATAAGAAAAGGGTGTATCCCAATTTCTTAGTTAATTTGCAGAGGCAGAATAAGCAGGAGTATGAAAGTGGCTGGGAGCCAAGATTTTTGCTGGGTTCTCTTCCTGGCTTTGCCACAGGTTTGCTTTAGGGCCTTAGAGAAGTCGCTTCTTGGATTTGCTTTAGCCCCTGTTTAAAGGAGGGATAGAACTTCACATAGGAAAATTGTGGGGATTCCCTAAACACAAATCCGCAGAGAAGATACCTTACTCTCGTAGCAAAATCAATATTTTAGCCCACTGTAGGCCCCTGTGTAGTATGCAGATGATGTCAGATGGGGCTGGGAATTAAGGTGATAGAAAGAGGCTAGGAACTGCAATGTGTCTGAAACCCTGCTGTCCTGTGGAGTTCTGGCACCTCTCAGAGTTGTGGGAGAGCAAGCCCTTCCACTATCCTGGTGCTTCGGAGTTGTCAGTCACAGAGTAGGACTTCTTTTCTTCAGGGACCACCAGGGATGGAGGTGTTAATGTTGATGCTGAAGCCACGTGTTTTACACACAAATTCGGAGTTCAAACCTGCCATCTCCTTTCCCAGCTGGAAGACACTGATTCTATTGCCCTCTTCTTCTTCCTTAAAGATGTTTCTCACTATGAGCTGTTCTGGGTCTGAGAAGGCTCTCAGTCCCTTCTCTTGAAGCTGCTCCGCTTTGCAGAAGGGAACTGGAAGCAATCTTGGGCTGCAGGAAAGGGCTTTTGAACATTTGAGCAGAGGGGCATCTGTTCTAGGACTAATGAATCCAGCTGGGACCTTGTCCTATAGCTCTGTTTTGATAGACCTGCCATAGGTAGTCTTGATGGGAGAGAACACCTGATTTTTGACTCCTCACTAGGTGGTTGGTGACTTGTATGTCTCCAAGTCACTCAAAATTTGATGACATGCTTTAAGGCAACAATTGCAAAGAAATGAAGATCTGACCTCTCCAAAGGGGCAGCCAAGTTCTTCTGTAGTTCTAGATCCCAGTGCTTTTAAAACGGTTTGAATGGGAAAAAATGGGCTGTTGCTTTTTAGGTTAAGAAGACATGTCAAGAACAAATGTTTTCAATAAATGCTTTTGGAGGAACAGCTATTGAAGTTTTAAGTGGCTGAAATGTGAAGCCGATTGCAGACCTGTGTTGCTGAGTGACCCTGTTTGGTGAGGTTATATCTTTGCAACCTAAAATACAGTGCAAATGACTCAGGGACGCCCTGATGAGGAGCAGCCTGCACCGGCTGTGCAGTGCTGAGATGTGGCACAGCTTGGTTACCTGAAGTAAATAAATCTAGACTGTTTACAGAGTGGAGCTGACTCACATGAATCCTACTTGCAGGTGTGTCTGCACCTGTGGTGTAGACATGGCCTTGGGCTCTGTATGATCAGGGCCTTTAATCAGAGTGGTATTTTCCTAACCCATTTCTTATCTGAGCACAGTGGTTGGCACCCAACTCCGAACTCATTCTGTTGTCTGATCTGGTCTCAATCTGCCTTGCAGGTGCTCCCCTAGTGGTCTTCCCCACATTTCTTGCCCATTGCTTAGAAATGTGGAACTGAGGATCCAAACACTGGATGCAGTCATCTATGTGCTTTCTGGGGGACTTTATTTATGCAATAACAATGACATGGTTTTAGGCAATGTCCAGCCTCTTTAGTCCAGAGTTCATGACTTAAGAAGACGCATATAGTTGTAATGCAGCCTCTTAAAACCCTTTTTTTGATCTATGACTTGCGTGACAGTAAGATCTAGAGAATGTTGGTGAATGGGACAAAAAGTTCACATCCCAAAGACCCCGCGGTCTTACTGCATTGTTTTTCTCTCCAGCATCCTGCTCTTCCCTGTGACCTTCAACTTGTAGAAGAACTCTCACCAGAGTAAGGCTACTTTTTGTGTATAGTTTGTTGCCAGGGTTTTGCCTTCTTAGGCATTCAGCTGGGAGTGGGATGGACTGGCAGTAGCTCTTGAAGTGAGTGGCATTTCTGAGAATCTGGGAGGGTTCTCAAAGGCAGAATTTCCTGTAGCTAGGGCACATTTTTAATACCCTACTATATGTGTGCTTGTTCTGGACTGGACTAAGTATGTCCGTGTGTGTCCTAGTCGCTGTCATCTGTTTGGGTTCTTGCATTATGCTTATAAACACACTCCACCACTATCTGAAGCAGTACTGACTTTTTTTTACCTGCTTCCTTTTCTCAAGGATTGCGTATTTTTCTCCAGTGGCCTTCTGGTTACTTGTAGAGTTGCAGGGCTCCCAGCCCATTCCCGGGGACCGCACAGCTGGAAGCTGGCCAGGTTCTCCAGGAGGAATCTCAAAAATGCAGCTGAACTTCTGTTCCCTAATTAGGCCAACTTTCCCAGTGTGAGCCCCAGCACTGTGTGGCCCAAGCTCCCCAAGGCCTCCCGCTGCCTTTCTCCTGTGTACCCCAAGTGCCTGGCTGGCAAGGCAGCTCTTTTCAATTTCCTGAGATTATTGGGAGTCTTTTGATGACATCTACTCAAATAGCATTTCTAGTCCCCAGCTTTTTTAGTGGTATCCTTCCTGCTTGGCCACCTTGATTTGGATTATGGGCAAAACCTGAAAATCTCATGGAAAATAATTTTATTATCAGCTTTTCTTTTTCTTTCCACGCATTTATTTCATGCTTCAAGTGCTCCCAGGCCCATCTGAAGGTAGCAGAAGAACTGTAGGAGGGGTGTAGGTGGATGTGAATGTCTGTCAGTATATAGCACAAGGTAAAAGCAAGTGGGTTGAGAGACGTTTACATCTTGGAAGGCTGGAAGAGGCGCAGCCTTACAACTGTGGTTGTGAGAGGTTTCTACTTGGTAATCCTTTGCTGGTAGAATCAGATTATTTTGCACTGTTTTCATGCAGAGGAGAGCAGCAACTCTTGAGACAAGGTGTCACACACTGCAGTATGACAGCTTCCCTAGCAGGTGCAGATGCTACTTAGCCAGAGCTGACTGTTGTTTTAGGGAAGAGGTTCTTGTCAGCTATTAACCAAGATGAACTGTTCCTTTGCTTGCTGTGATAGATGTCAAAATATTTGAAGCCCCCCAAGAAATGTTTCCATCTCAAAAGCCTTTTCCATAATAAAGGGATGTCAGTGACTATGAAAAACAGCATAGTGGAAGAAATGAGAATCCAGTGTTTTCTGTTAGGCAGAAGTCCTTGGAGGAGACCATTACTTCTGCAGTCTGTGGATGTGATAAAGGCGGCTAGCAGAGATGGGCCACTTTTTTGCAAAAATACAAGGCTTGCATACAATTGGGAACAGATCCCTTTTTGATATCATATGTGCTTTGAGATGTGAATAGGTTGTGAATGTTATGTGGCTGCTTAGAAGTAGCAGGGCTGTTTGACTTACAGCTCCTTAACAAGCAACAGTCAGAACTAATTACTCAGGGCTGTTGGCGGAGATCAGCTTTCCAGCAGTCAGGGAGCCTCTGTCAACTTGCTGGAGGAACGGAAGCTCGGGTCTGGCCATACACCTTTCTTTCTGCTACATGGCCATTCTTGGATGAAAAGAAGGTGCTTACATGCCAAATAAAAATATTGCCATGTTTGTATGTGAAGGAGAACACAGATCTCACACATTTTAAGGAGTTGTACTGCACAAGAGAAAGACTGTGTGTCCTCTGTTGTGTACTGTCATTTGAGTCCCTGCCTCCTGCATAGAGTGCTTGTTGCTTCAAAGGAGTTGTCATGTTGGTAAAGATAAATTAATCCACATTTCCAGATCCTCCTGAGAATCTGAGGGACTTAAAATGCCCATAATCTGCCTATGTCATGGTGGGTCAGAAGCATCCTAACTAACTGGATCCTCCAGTTAGTTGCTTCCGTGAGGGAAGCAACACCCAGTTAGCACCTTCCAAGCTGCAGACATGAGCCGACAAGTAGCCTGGGAATTTCTGCCTTAATGAGGAAGCTGGATTAGAACCTTACATCTATCTGATAAGAAAGATCCTGAAGAAGAAGGTAGAATTTCTTCTTTAATAAAAGATAGATGGGATTCAGGTAAGCTGAGCAAGGCCAGTAGTTTTCCAAATGGGAGATAAAATCCTGATTGTGATGGTAGTATGAAAGCATTGATAAGAGTACCTGGGAAACCCTGCCTTCGGGAAAATGGCACCAAAATGAATTTCTGAGAAAAAATCAGCAGGAGATACAGAACATGGCAACATGCCTGAAAAAAAGAGAGTCTGCAGAAACTAAGATAGGGGAAATCTGGAGATAAGGAATTGACAACTCAAGCAGAAAAAGCAAGCCGTGGTGAACAAGTGATTAGTTAATGGTGTGAAACCGACTGAGCAGCAGCAGTTGAGAGAGCACTCTTTTGTCAGGAGCTGGGGGATTCTCTGTGTTCTGAACACTAAATCACTTTGGGTATATAGTTTTGTATGTGTAATGAAACTCTTGCCTTTGATATGGCAGGTAGTACTGACAGGTTCTGATCATTTTAAAGCCCACAGTCGTTTTCATCAGGAAGACGTGTTCAGGAGCACATTTGCTCCATGACAGAAGAACAGCGTCTTTCATTTCTGCTCTGCCTCCTCTGGCTTTGGCATTCTTCTCACTTTCTGTGTCAAGCTTGCTTGCAGTTGCAACTTTTCTAACTGTGACCATATTACGGCAATGCATAACATTGCATTCTCAATTGTAAATTACATTTTAGAAGTGGGAAAGGTAAGTTTATTTACTTGACAGGAGTGCTTGTGGCATGTGACCTTATTATGGCACTTTCCAGGCAACTAACAAAGAAAAACTATTTATTCTCAGCTGACAGGTAACGTTGCCTTTCCTGTTGCTAGTGTTCCTGTGGGCAGCTCAAAAAAAATTACCTGATTTATTGCAAGAGGAATAAAAGGGCTGTAGGTGTATGTGAAGTGTTTGTCAGCATCTGCCAGATATTCAGGGCTGCCTGATACGTATGATCAATGGGAATACATTATAAAATTGGAAAGACATGGGAACCAACCCCCTAAACACAGTGGAGTCACATCCTGTGCAAGGGCTGGGGCAGCCATTCTCACCACACTTCTATCTGAAGTGCCCGACTTTGCTCCTTCTCTTGGAGCTGAAGAAGGGTTTTGGTGATGCAGGACATAAATTGCCAGTGCACTGACGTGTCTTGGAAATGCAGTGTTTTCCCTCAGCCTTATGCCCAGGTTCTTTGGTTACATTTGTGTTCGGGAGCAAGGCCTGCTGGCTACTAGGGGAATGGTGCAGGGAAAGGAGGGAGAAGGGCTGTTTGCGTGGGAAGGATCAGTGTGGGAGGGAGTGTGTTTCTGAGGTAGGGGTGTGTGTAATGGGAATAGGGATGTTTTTGTGGGCACGCACGCCCATATGTGGTGTGTTTTTCCCCATTTTCCTGGGCTTTGGGTGTGTCCAGATCAACTGAATTCAAAATGCTCCTTTTTTGGCACTGTAGCCTCTTCTCTGGTTTGGCATCTTAAGAATCTGGGGAAATCATTTCAAGATCAGAAAACTCCATTCACTTGGGCCCCTGAAGGCTTCACATTCTGTGACATGGTCATTCCAGTCGACTGAGCTCTGTCCCCTGCGGATGAGCCCATATAAGGAGGCTGTTTCCTGTGTTTCACGCTCCCTGCCTGTCCCTCTGCCCTCCTGTGCTCCCTTTGCTGAAGAAAGCTGGTATTTTGGGACTGCAGCTCCTGCCTCATTCCTGCTCCCTGTTTATTTTTGGAGAATGACTATTTTTGCTCCTATCAGGGAGCTATGCAGGGTCGTGCCCCTTCCCTGCAGCAGGCAGTGGCTGCCCCTGGCAGGCTCTCTTCATTTCCCACACTCACAAACAATGCTTCTGTTTCAAGAAATAAACACAGCAGACCCCTACCATCAGAGGTTAGTTCATCCCCTTCTTCATCTGTGACAAGAGACAATTTGGCTTTGGCTCAGGTTTGACCCCACCTCACAAGCAAGCTTCCCTTGTCAGGTCAGAGATCCTCAGGAGTCACCCAGCCCATTTGCTTTCTTAATAAAAGCTTTGGGAGCTGTATGTCCTCTTTCCCTCACCCCAGATTAGACTTCTTTGCATTTACCTTGTTTTCCCCATTTTTGGACATTTTACCCCATTATCCTTTTTTTTCGGATCATTCCTTCCTGAGTCTGTTGCAGCTGGGCACCATCAACTGAAACAGACTGCCCAGGAGGTGGTGGAGTCACCATCTCTGGAAGTGTTCAAGAACCATGTAGATGGGGCACTGAGAGACATGGTTAGAGGGCACGGTGGTGATGGTTGGGCTGGATGATCTTAGCAGTCTTTTCCAACCTTTAATGGTTATATGATTCTGTGACAATCAGGAGCTATATGTAAGTATTTATCTACTGGGTTCACCTTACTTCTGCTTTTGGTATTGCACGTTATGTAGAACACTCAAGCTACTGCTGCATGAGGTGCTTCAGGCAGGGGGCTGGGCCCCAAACTGCAGAAGGCATTGGGCAGCTCTCACATGGTGGGCCTGGTATTTGGAAATTCCTGTTGTGAGCCCCAAGTCAAATTCTTGTTTTCTCTTGCCACGTGGCTGAGTGCCACACAAGACAAAATAGCAGGGAGTGTCTATAAGCTCTGAGTGAACTTTCCCTTTATCGTCCCAGAGGTGGTGATGGCAGGATTCATCTTGCCTAACGTTATAGGTCTTCGCTGTAGTTGTCATCTGACTTCCTATTCTAGTCAGTGGAGAAAAGCAGATCTTTCTAGGGAACGATTTGTCATCTAAAATACGATGTCCAAAATGTGTGCTGACTGACTTGTGTCCTAGCAAACATGTAAAACATAATGCTCCCAACTGAACTGTGAGCAGCAGTAGTGAAGGTGTTCCCAGTGAAGCATGCTCTGGAGTGCAGTGTTTCCTCTGCTTTGTCTCTTGAGCAAGTCAAAGGCACATAGACCTGCAGCTTGTCAAGATACTGACTAAAGCAGTGTATGTCCTGCTTCCATAGACATGTATAAAACTATCTTAAATATCTCTTACTTTATGAATAAGCAGTACTTTAAGCATTATCTCTCCATCTGTTTGGTAAATTGTTGCCTGTGTATGTGTGGAGCTGGTGAAAGAATTGGCTTGACAGGAGCTGGCTGTAAAATTTCTTTTTTTTATTATTAAAGGAACCACCACCCAAACCCCCACGCCGACATGGAGGCTGGGCAGTCGATCCTGTGCTGGCTCCTACCAAGTGAGTACTCACTTCTTTCTTTATTAATAGGGGCTTCAGCATGGATTAACTGAATGTCACTGGTTGGGCTTTGGAATTGCAGGCACTGGAAATGTTTTTTCTGGATTTTGCAGTTAATGTCTCCAATATCCTTGTTAACTCCTTGAAACCATTTGAGGTATTGCTCTTGCTTGGTCCCACTAGCAAATGCTCTGTGTAGATTGACCTGTCTGGGCTATGAAGTGCATTTACATTGCTGTCTGCAGAAGGCAGTATGTTCCTCACCTGGTATAGACCATGTGGGATTCCTGGAAGGAGCCAATAAGGGTGTTAAATACATGGGGATGGGATTTGATTGTCCACGTCCTTTCCAGGAGAGTGACACATGTCAGTGACCCACTGACAAGCATGAAATGAACTGTTTACCATTTAGTGATTGTCCTTGATGGTAAAGATGAAATCTGTTGATGTTTATGTGCATATGGGTTTGTGGTATAATGGAGATGGATGGAGATGGTCCAAGAGAAGAGATGGAAGAAAAAGTTATTCAAATTGTAGGATGTATGTTGAAAAGTCTGATTCTTATGAAGGACACATTAAGAGAAATACCCAGATACACTAATAGGATGGGTATCAGAACTAAGGGACAGTTCAGACCAGAAGGAGGTCTCAATCTATTTGTTATTTATCAAGCTGTAAAGTTACCTTGCTGTTACACTTGTTATTCACAGGACTGAAGGGCTCTGCCTTCGGGTGGTGTGAGATTGCTTGTGTATATTAAGGCCTTTAGTAAGAGTGCATTTGTCTGGACATGTGCTTTGGAGACACTGATCTCTGGAAAAAGTTATATATTTTCTTTCTTGGAACCTTGAGAATGAGACAGCACATCTAGAGACCTGTTACACAGTCAGTATTTCCTGGGAGCTGAGAAAGATGGTCTACATTCTAGAAAACAGTACTTTTTTGGGAAAATTATGGCTTGCTCTTTGTCTCCAAAGAATATATCAGCCCTTTGTAGAACCAAGATGAAGCTTATGGAAATGTGATAGCAAAGAACAAGGGTGAATTGCATTGCTTAGGAAAAATAAATCACGTAATTGGTGGCTATGTGAGGGACTGGATAAGAGCTAATTCAGTTATTCAGAACTGAGCCTAATGTGCCCTGAAGGACAGTGCTCAGGTTCCTAATATGATGGCACTGTGCTATGTGCTGCTGTAGGATGTTTTCTGTGGTTTAACTTGAACCTTATCAGATAGATTTAGAGCAGTAGTTATCATCAGTGCTTCTCCAGCATCCCAATTGCATGGATAATGGATATACCAGGTGCTTGGAGTAAACACTCCTATGAGGTTGGAAGCAGAGCAGGAGCTAGAGGGCTGCAGACTTTTCTACCCATAGGACCCTGCCCAGTGGGACATAAGATGAAGACGTTCCCCTTTCTCGTTCATGAGTACAGTATTGTGTCATACTTGACAGTATTCTCTTCCTTTGTAGTAAGAGCTTTTATGGAATAAATTTTATGAAGAGAAGGTTTGCTCTGACGTTCTTTAGTTGTAGGAAGGATGAGGCTTTTGTACAGCTCTTCCCCTGTCATCTCTTCGCTTCAGCTGCAGATTCTTGATAGGCTGATCTCTTTTCCTTTCCCTCAGAGAAGCCTGAGATGCTGGCCTGTAAGGCTGTCCTTGTGACATATCCCAGAGTTGAACCTTCATGTGAAAAGTCTGAGTCATCGATGGGCTGATGTCATACCAATGTTGCTGTAGCTTTTTTGTTTCTGTTTTCTCAGGCTTTATCTCCCCATAGCTTTTCTACCAATTTGTCTAAGTCTGGAAGACCATCAAGTCATTGCTCCAATTTCACTGGGATAGATATCGATACACTAGAATAACGTGCTTCTAGTAACATATCTGATGCAGCCATAAAGGGCTCTTATGCCAATGTAACTCAGCCTACACTTGGAAGTATATTGCTTTAAGTAATCTTGTTTAAGTAATTTTGAACTGACAGCAATACATTCTGTGATATTTTGCTTATGAAGTGAGGGTGAGCAGCATGACTGCAGTTGGATTTTCTGTGTTGTGCAAGTATATTTTGGGTCAGATGGGATACTGCAGCCACTTGGGAAAGTCTTGTGCATCATTCTCTTCCTTATTTGAGGTATAAGCTTTTAGTTCTGTTTCTGACAGATTCAGCAGTAAAACTGCAAACTTACTGCTTTCCCTGCAGGGCTGTTTTAACTCTTTTTTGCTGTATTTCTAGATCCAAGTTTTATCAGTTTGAAATGATTATTTGAAATTGTTCTCTGTGTTTCCACTGAATAACTGTTAGAGTAGAATTTAATTTGTGGCTGTTTTTCTGTTTTTCTATCTTTGCTGCTCCCTCCTCAGCCCTTACCTATCCAGCTCTTGTCATACCAAGGTGAACTTTCAAATATTTTCACCATCTTGCTGATTCCTTCCATTAGACTTGTGCTGTCTCAGACTATTGCAAGTTAGGAAGAGAAGGAGAGTCCAGTCTATAATTAGTTTTAAAATTAATTTGCACAGATTGTGTGCAAGGAAGAGAAAGTAATTTTGTCACGAGTTCCCATGGCGTTTACAAGTGTCAGATATTAATGTCCCAAGAATGATCATAATGCTGTCCTTTTTTCTCATTCTTAAAAAAAATAATAATAATAATGCTAAAAGTCAAGCATGGAGCGATTACTTTGGACTCCCAGCGCCTCTGTAAAACAGTTGTCATTACTAGGAGTCCCAATTTGTTGATGTGGCTAATAGTGAAGACTATAGATAAGTTTCTGAGCAAACCCTCAGACTTGCCCTCTGCCGTCAGCAAATAAATGGTGCAAAGCAATGACACAGAAATCTTTTTTTGCTTACTGATGGGGTTCTCTGCAGCTGAATGTACTGTGCATTGTACAGAGAGAAAAGAGTAGTTGTCCATGAGAAGAGGCAGTCCCATTGCTGCCCCAGCAATATTCTAGTGCCAGTGTTACAGGAAAGGGGATCAGCCAAGAACCAAGGCAGCTGCTTGGAGCCTAGCACCCTGCTGACATTACATAAATGGCAGTAATTACAGATGGTTTTATGCTAGAGAAGCATCGCTCCAACCACTGGATGGAGCTCAAGTGCCATTCTGAAAACTGTACTGATGTCCTTAATAACATCAGTGTTGACATTTGTGTCAAGCAAAGCAAAGGTTTTATTGTCAGGTTATCTCATGCTTTGGAAGGAAGAAAAAGAAACACAGCATTCCTGCCAATGGGAGAAGGAAAAAAAAAGTCATTTTTGCATACTGGTGGGGACTTGACAAAGGAGAGATGTTTCAAAGACCCATTTAATTCCAGGTTCTGCTGATCTCATCTATCTGACTTTCCTTATATCCTACTTTCCTTATAGAATTTCCTTCGTTTTTCTTCCTGTAAGTATGTTTTTCATTTGTTTTTTTGATCCCGTGTGTCTCCTTTCTTACGCATGGATCCTGGCATTTTAGCAACAGGTGCTCCAGCCACAACTGAAATTTCTTTTTTTCTGACTGCTCGGTCATACAGAATTGGAATAATTAGGGCTTATTTAGGTGAATGACCAGAATGTTTTGGAACAAACTTGTCTAGCAGTGCCTTTCACAGGAAGATAAATGTCAAGGCCCAAGAAAGAAGTGGATGCAGTTGGGATGACCTTTAGAGTGGAACGGTATTGATAACTCAACCTTTGTGTAGAAATCATTTAGGGCTCTGGAGGTTGGGCAATGGTGAGATTGCACCCTGGAGCTGGAGAAAAGTTATTTAAGAGATTAAGGTTTTTTATGATTTAAGGTCTCTAGAGCTAACTAAAGTTAAAAACCTCCTGTTTGAAGAAGATGGGCTTAAACTATCCTGTGTTGCATCTATATGAGATGACCCTCAAGAGTGTCTGTTTTATAGAACCTCTGGCCATCCCTGTCTTGCAAGTGGGAGTAGTAAAGCGTTCACAAGTTTCTCTATCTGACATGGCAGGGAAAAGCTTGTGTCATTGTGTCTGCCCTCTACTCCCAGCCCTGCAATGCTGAGATAAATCCTGGGCTATGCTTCCGTATGACACTGCCATGTTAGGAGCAGAGCCAAGCTCCTGGTGGTGGGGAAAACAGCAGGCTCCCTCTGCATCTTGCCACCCTCTGTGGATGTCTTCAGTGATGTGAAGAGTACAGGTACAAAGGATCGAAGCTACCAAGTGAGGAGGCACAACTGAGAAGGAGAAGATAGAAAAGGAAGTCTGATTAAGTTTTGTCTTGAAGTGTCTGTTTTTGGGTTTGTCCCTGCATTGATCTGCAAGGGAATGAGGCAAGTAATAGCCCCTTGGGGACCTTCAGGACTTTCCTCTCAATGTCAGCCGTCATTTTCAATCACCCTCTCCCTCCCAGCCATTAATTTTGGCCCAGGATCATGGGGACTTGTCCATCTATCACTCCTAATTGACACTAAATGATCTGTCAGTTTATTGATGAACGGCAGGAGTGGAATTGTCACAATATATTTTACTTTCTAACAACTCCTCCTGACAATTTTACCTTGTCCATCTCACTCTCCTCACATAAATCTCCATTGGCCTCTCATTCCTTCTCTTGGGCTGTTCTGGTGCCAGCCGCCTCCACGCCATCGGCACGCATCAAGGACATCAAGATGGCGGTAAGCTGCAGTGTGCAGGCCTGGGGTGGGCTTTTTCTTCTCTTTCTCTCTCACTCTTCTTTTTTTTTTTTTTGTTTTAATAAGCCGGATGTTCCAGGAATGCTAACAGGCTCTTGTCCTCTTGTCCCTCCATGTCATTGCTGGGGTGAGCTCTCCTTGGTGTTTCTGTTTAGACTCAGTAAAGATAACTGGCAGAAAATTGAAACTCCCTTAAAGACAAAAGAGTCATCTGAGAGTCCCTCAGTACCATTGCTGTGATGGGGGATTTTTTCCTTTTAATCCTGTACCGTGTGACTAGCAAGGGTTTCCAGCAAAGGGAAAATGCTAGACTTATGCCCATACCTGCATCTTAGCAGT